TACACCTTAAAAATATTTTATTGTTTCCTTTTTGATGCTTGGAGTTCAGTCTGCAAATATTCAGACATGACAGGAAGCCAGGGAGTGAAAACACAAATAGTGAAACACAGTAAAATAATATATGTACAAATATCAACAATATGGACAACCCTGCAACTGACTAAGATTCAGTATAAATGTTCCCCTGCCTCATTTCTTTTAACTCGTTTACAAAAGGGGACTAAAATTAAAACATTTTTCAAACTAAAGGATGATTTCAGAAACTACATAAACTCAACAGATACTCAACATCTTTTTTGGTCACAGGTTCCTCAACAAGAGTTTGGTTGGTCTCATTTGATGTTCTCTGTTGTGCTTTCAACATCATAATCAAAGATTAATGAAAAAAATTCAAGAGATAGAAGTATTTTATGTTAAACATATCTTGGGGGCCAGATAAGATGTCAATGTGGGCCACATTTGGCCCGCGGGCCTTGAGTTTGACACATAGGCTTTAAATGATAAAGTTTATGTTCAGCAGGATGTGTTTGTATGACAGCACGGGTACAAACAGAATTTAGGGTTTAGTGGCACAGATTTTGTCTAAAGACAAACATCTCATGAATCACAACAGATTTTATTGATATGTGCAGAAATTATTCATTAAACATAGCTTTACAAGTGATTGTTTTGAAGTCAGCTTGATTCAAGATGGCCATCATAAGTGACCTTAGCAGAGAATCTGTTTTTAAACCTTTGTCCTTGATTATAGGAATCAATGTCTGTTAGCAAAATATTCATGATCTACTGGACAGTTTCTTTTGAGACATTTAGAAAACAGTATTTGGGTGTACAGTATATTTATGACTGATTAACTTTTGGGGTTAATCCAATTCAAGATGGCCGCCACAGCCAAAAGACCCTAGAAAACAAATTTGGTTGAACTCACACAATTTTACAGTAGTTGGATTTTTTCATCTTCTTCCTTCTGCAGGTGTCGCCGCAGGGAGCAGACACAGGATGCCCTTCTGGACACAACCTGGACTCAAACCTGCGGCCTCAGGAAAATGAGACTGTAGCACTGACCACTGATCCACAGCAGCCACCCTCACACAGTTCTACAGATAATGAGCTAACATTTGGTGTGACTGTAGCTGAATATTATCCCCAACACTCTAAGCCCAGCAGGCAATACTTTTGCTTTAAACGTTGAGATAGTTGGTGTCAAAACAGTCTGTTAGCAAAACATTTTATGAACTGCAATAGGAATTTTATAGAAAGTTTCATAAAGTAATCACCAAATAAACATCCATAACTGATGAACTTTTGGAGTCAGTTGAAAATGGCTGCAACTCAGTCTGTTTCACAGATTATGTTAAAATCAGAGGTGGTAGTAGCTGAGAGTCGTACATAATCTATACGCTGGCTATATGGCAGGGGGATATACATTCCTTAAAGGAATGTGAGACCTTTGCTTCATTCATCTGCTTCTTCATTTAAAAACAAAGCTTTTCTACTCATTTCGTTTTGATCTGTTCTTAAACACCAACGATAGCTCCACAAACCGACATGACGAAACATCGATCTCCTCAGCAGGACTTTTAGAGGAAGCATCACTTCTCACCAAGGAGGTGCAACAACACCCGAGTGGCGATATCAGTCCAGCTGCAGAAGAGTTTGAGGAGCTCACTCTTAGCTCCAACGTCATCAAACTGTTGAGTCATCGCTCTCAGGTGATGGTGGTGCAAGTGAAAAATGGCTGACACCAGTGTGGCTGAGAGGCCTGAAGCTGGTTTGGGACGATGGAAGCATAAACAGGCAGATCATGCAAACAACAAGGCAGTTTGTTTATTGTAATCTGGGTTTGTTTGATGCCGCAGCAGGAAAAAAGCCTCCACAGTCACGTTGTTTCGTCAAACACAGAGAAGCCTCCACAGCTGCTGCCAGATGTGATAGAGCTGGCGGTGAACCTGAGGATGATCAGTGCACATGTTTCAAGCCACCCTTCGTTCAGGTTTAGGGGGTTTAAGTGCAAGTGTCTCATTTTCTTCTTTCAGGTTCCTCCTCCCAGCCTGCCGAGGCCTCATACTGGGTGAACAAACTGGTACACCAGTCTCTGAGACACGTCGGGCTTACGGATGATGCCCTTCTTATAGTATTGACGAATGGAGCGGCTCAGCTTGTCGTAGTTCATGGCAGGTCGGTTCTTTCTGAGTCCCCACAGCCGCGCCACGTGGGCCGAGTCTTCGATTTTAAAAATGCCTGCAGAGAAACACGAGGTTTTTAAAGCAATGTGCTTCAAGTACTTCACTGTAAATTGTTTTTAATTCCATAAAATGCTCTGATAGGAAATGTGAAAGAGTTCGATCTGAAAGCAGATGGGATGAGTTTTAAAGAGGAATAAAAGTGAGTAAAAGTGTTGGAAATGTTTTATATCATTAAAGATTCACCCACCAATATAACAACTGGCCACCGTTTTCAAAACTGAAATCTTACTGAGTCATCTTTTATTTTGAAAGGTTTTGTATGTGAGTGTGACAGTGACGATGGAAGGATGAACCACAAACAAAACACAAATCTTTTCACTCAAAATATCTACATATAACTCTGTAAAATACCATTTCTTAGCTGTAAAAACACAAATGTTTTTAATTATTTTAGGTGTGTGTTTTCCCATTTGCTGCTTTTTGCTACCTAGTTGGCTACTTTTAGTTTGTTGATAGATTTTTATTACTTTTGACTTAATGCTTAAAGTTGTATTTTTTTTTACCTAGCATTTGCTGGATTTAGCTTTAAGCTAATGTTTTGCTACTTTTACTTAGCCTTTTAGTAGTTTTTGCTCACATTCACATTTTCCTACTTTTAGCTAGCCTTCTTCTATTTTTAGCTTTTAGCTAGCATTTTGCTACTTTTAATCCAAATAAAAGGTTAAAAACCAAAAAGACTGGACTTTTATTTTGAAGATGAAGATGGTTATCAATTAAATGTCTGGAGTGTGTGGAGTTGCCAGCTTTAAAGAACTGAGGCCTGGTTGTGTATCTAGATTCAGCTGCAGATTAGACTGGAACTACAATGGAGGCTCGTTAGGGTTCTTCTGGCTCATGAGAGATGTTTTGGTCACCTGCATGAAGGTGTGAATTGAAGAGGATCTGACCTGGAATCAGACCTAATGCTGTATTGTAGGCTTTTGAAATTTAATCTGAGACCTCTCATGTCCAGTAGATCATGAATATTTTGCTAACAGACATTGATTCCTATAATCAAGGACAAAGGTTTAAAAACAGATTCTCTGCTAAGGTCACTTATGGTGGCCATCTTGAATCAAGCTGACTTCAAAACAATCACTTGTAAAGCTATGTTTAATGAATAATTTCTGCACATATCAATAAAATCTGTTGTGATTCATGAGATGTTTGTCTTTAGACAAAATCTGTGCCACTAAACCCTAAATTCTGTTCGTACCCGTGCTGTCATACAAACACATCCTGCTGAACATAAACTCTATCATTTAAAGCCTATGTGTCAAACTGTTAAAAATCATAATATATTTTTAGCTTTATAATGTCACCCCTACTGTCCATAAAAGTCTCATCCAACAAACCTAAAGTGTCCCATGGGCCACCAGTTGATAACCACAGTTGTAGCAGGTTGTTGATGCTCTGGACACATTTAATTTAGTGAATGAAGGTGTAAAAATGGCTTTTTTTGATCATAAAGGTTGCAGACTCCTGAGTTAGGACATCCACTGGTCGGGAGAGTTAATATAACGAGGCCTCTCACACAGTCCAGTAAAGCCTGGAGCTCCTCTCACTCCAGACATTTTTGAGCTGATAGAAGTTACATGTTCAGCTTCAGAACAGAAGTCCAGTTGTTTTTGTTTTTAATATTTTTCTTTGGATTGTTCATGACCTGGATGATAGAGAATCCTCATCAGCATATTTAGTTTTTACCTAATGCTTTGCTCCTTTAATTAGCTTTTTACTACTTTTTGCAAAACTTTAGTGTCTTTACCTAGCATTGAGCTACTTTAAACTCAGCTAGCTTTTAGCTTTTTAAACGTTTAACAAACCTTTTGCTAGTTTTAGCTAACCCTTTGTGGCTTTTGGCATGTTTTAGCTTGTCTTTTTGCTCCTTTTAGCTTAGTGCTTGGTACGTTTAGGCACATAAGCTACATGGTCAGCATTAGAGAACCTTTTTAGTTTTTAGTCAAAACAGAAGAAAAGCTCAGCAGAGGTTCTGCGGCTCTTCCTTCCACCAACTGGTGACCACGTTTCTCCTTTTCTTTTTTACAAGCTGAACTGTTAAACAAGTTTAAAATCACCTTGTTGTGTCATTCCTCTGTTTGACCAACAGCCTGTGGGTGAAAAGGTCTGGTGATGCTGACTCGTACCTTTTTCTTTGTTTAGCCAGCGGATGCAGCGTCCGTAGCTGTGAGGTTTGAGCAGGAGCTCTCGGAGGAACTGCCACAGATGAATAGGTTGACCCGAACAAGACGAGTCCGCTTCGGACCACAGCTCCTCATGGCCTTCGCAAAACGAAATTAAAATGTTTTTATTTTAATTTGTCAGGTCAGTATGCTGTGACTCTCTGATACGAGATTATGAATTCTTACATTGATGTAAATTTTTGACCACTTTGTGGATTTTATTGGAATTGGTTAAGTAAAGAAAGCAAAAAAGTGTTCAGTGCATTGGGTTTGTTTTGCTAAACTTCTTGTGACTTTCATTAAGGCTGGTTAATATCTTTGACTTTGGAGGAAATCAATTCTACCTGTAGTTTTAGTCTCCACGACTGAACACCTCTCCTTCATCCAGGCAGCTGGAGATAAAAGAGAGACAGACAATCAATCAGAAGAAAAAGCTTTTTCTTTAAGTTAAGTAATTCCAGATGAACATTACATTAATGCAAACGTTTTCAAGCCACCCCCTAAAGTGTTTTTTTTCTTATTCCCAGCAGACAAATGTTCCTCGTGGTCTTTATGGTGGCCCTGATCAGTAGATTTTAGGGCTTCCTGGAGGTCTTTTAAAGATTTGAGCTTTGTCTGGTTTATAACTCGTTTTCTGTCCAGTCACTGAACCTGCTCATGACGTCAAACATTAAAGGACAAAGAACAAAAGTCAGTCATCCAAATGAAATCTACAGCAAGTGTCTAAAAGTCATGTCTTTTAGAAAAATGAAATTAAAATAAAACAATAATCCAGCTCAGATCACCTGACACAGGAGACCTGGGGAGATCTGGGACCCTGTGTACACAAGTTCATTCCACCTCATGTACCACATGTGATGTGAATGACAATAAAGGACCTTGATCTTGAGAGCCGAATCATCTTTCAGTTGGTCACCTACATGTCAAGTTTTCTGCTAATAACTGGTTAACAATTTGTCGGAACTATAATAAACAGTTTTTGTTTGTCTAATTTGTGTACTCTGGTATTTTTCAAAGATTGGACAAAAGAAATGGAAAAGAATTGTGTCTTTGGTTCAAGCTAGCAGTCGCACTGTTGGTTTCCTGTTCACAGCTTTGTCCGTGCACTGTTTGATGACTTTTACCAATCGTGCTATTTTAACCATTTATATACAAAAACGTTCAGCTTGATAAAAAAAAAATAAAAAAAAACTTGTACTTGGACTTTGTTTTTTTGTCATTTTTACTTTAAATATTTCACTTTACTTTAAATAAAATGTTAGAAAAACATAGAAATATCTTCAGCTACTTCTTAAACATTGTTCCCTATTAAACATGCTTTAGCATTTTTGTTTTATTTTTGATCTTCTTATGCTAGTTTTAGCTTTTAGCTACTGTTTGTTACTTTTAAAATTCAGCTACTGTTTTGCTACTTATAGCCTTTAACTACAATTTAGCTTTTTTTTAGCCTTAGCTACCATTTAGCTTCGTTTAGCCTTTAGTTACAGATTTTCTCATTTTAACTACTGCTTTGCTGATTTTAGCTTTATGAATGTTTTGCTACTTTAAGCCACTATTTGCTTGTTGTTTTTGGTCATTTTAGCTACAGTTTTCATAATTTTAGCTTCAGCACCTGTTTTACTACTTTTAGCTACTGTTTCTCTACTTTTAGCATTTTGTTAATTTTAGCTTTAGCACTGACATTGCTAGTTGGTTTTGCTTTGGCATTAGCTTTACCATCTTTACCAAATAGGTTCTTTAGTAAATTTCAGCAAAATTATTTAGCAGTCAGCATTCACCTTCACAAAAACAAACAAACAAACAAATATTTCTCCAGGTAAAATTTGTTGTTTGTTCATTTTTCTGTTCTGTGTATTCAGTAACACGGCACATCATTTCAGTTTTACAGCTTTTTTAAATTTCCAAATGTTTTATAGGACACTTAAAAAGGTACATTATTGGATTGGGCAGCACGGTGACGCAGTTGGTACAGCTGCTGCATCTCAGTGAGCAGGTCACCACATCAAATCATGGCTGGGGGGCCTTTCTGGGTGGAGTTTGCATTCTCTCTGTACATGCATGTTTTTTTTTCAGGTACTCCAGTTTCCTCCCACTGACTAAAAACATGCATGTGAGGCTGATTGGTAACTTTAAATTGTCCCTAGGTGTGAGTGAGAGAGTGAATGGTTGTTTGTCTTGTTTTTTCTCTATGTGTCCCTGTGATGGACTGGAGACCTGTCCAGGGTGTCCCTGCCTCTCACACAGTGACTGCTGGATATGGGCACCAGTGACCCCTGTGACCTGAAATCGAAGAAGTAGGTAAAAATAATGGATGGATGGATGGATGGATGGATGGATGGATGGATGGATGGATGGATGGATGTTTTATAGAACACTTAAACAGGTACTGCCCTGAAAATGAGTGGTAAAAGTATCTACCTATGAGTAGGTTAAAAGAAGTGTAAAGTAAAATGGGAAAAGTAGCTAAAGTCCAAAAACAAGCAACCTTTGTAAGATCTTTAAAAAAGCTTTGCTACTTTAAAATGTTTTAAGAAAGTCAGGGCCGTTGAAAGTAAAGAACATAAATTACAATCTTTTCCCACATCATTCTATACAAACAGACTGGAGCTGCCTCTCAAACATCACACCAGCCACACATTAGATAACAGAGTCATCAGGAGGTGTAGCAGGTTACCATCCTAAATAAACATTCCTCCAGTACCTGACTTCCATATGTCCAGGTGAGCGTGCAGCGTGTCTCCACACAGCGGGGAGCGCTGGCGAAACTCCTCCTCGCTCATGGCACACAGATCCTTTCCGGTCAGCTCCTGAAAGGCTTTTCCTGCGTGAGGTAACTTGTACAGATGTTCAGTCCATAGCAGCCACTTTTGGACATTTGCTGTGTTCCACTCAATCGGGTCTGTGGGAGGATAGAAGAAAACCACCTGAGCTAGAATAAAAAAGTACTTAGTACTAACCATGTACAACTGAGAATGTGTCACTAGTTAATATAATTCCAGCTATTTTAGCTACTCGTATAAAGCATTCAGCTCATTTGGGACATACAGTTATGACTTTTGCTTTTTCTAACTTAAAGAATTTATATATTTAACTTGATTTATCTTCATTTTTATTTATGTTTTACTGGAGTGAGCTTTTAGCTATTTTGCAGGTTTTTAGCATTTAGCCGCCAGTTCCCTGGTTTTAGCTACCATTTTGTACATCTTAAATTTTAGCCACAGTTTTTCCCATTTTAAATTTTAGCTACCGTTTTTGCTAATTTTGGCTTTTAGCTGATTTTTGCTGGTTTTAAGCTTTTAGCATCTGTTTTGCCAGTTTTAGTGTTTGACTCATGTTTTGATGATTTTGGATTATAGCTACAATTTTGCTAAACGTGTTTTAGCTATTGCGTTTGCTAGTTTGGGCCTTTAGCGAGTGCTTTGGCAGTTTTAGCATTTGTGTAGCTAATTTTAACTTTTGGTCTGCTTGTTTTAACTTTATCAACTTAGTTTAAACTCGAGTAAATTTTGCCAGTTTTTTAGTTTCTAAGAAAAACTGCAATTTCTTTAGTTAAAACCCACTTTTTTCAGCAAGCTAAGAGTCATGCTAGGTCATTTTCTAGCTTTATATTGTCATAGATAATAAATCTTGTGAAACCACATGTAATTATGTTTTTATGCCTCTCCACTTCTAATCAGGAGAACAGATGACTCGGGACCATGAAGGTTTATAACAGCTAAAGGCTGTACAATACATAAAAAAACACTTCCTTTGTTTGCTCTCCAACCAGGAGAGACCTCGCCCTTAAGACTGTGTACACGGCTGCAGGCAGTGGAGAATCATCACTGTCACAGTTCAGAAAAACTTTTTAAAAGATCAGGATTAAACAGATCCTGGAGCGGGCAAACACAACTTTGTGTCAGAAAGGAGATAATTTAGAACATCTTACAGTTTGCTTTAAGAATATGTTGATTTTGGAAGTGAGGTTCAGTAGCTCATAAATCTCTGAATCAACATTTTAATATTTGCAAAATGTGAACAACACATATATTTTTTTCTTTTGTCAGTTATACGTGTTAATACGTTGCAATGCCTCATGAAAATGACAAACTGCAGGAGCAGGTGTGGTGGTGGGGCGGCTGCCTACCTGGGGTGATGTTGAGGAGCTTGCAGGCAGTTTCGATGTCCTTTAGCACCTCTCCAACAACCATGCTCTGAACCTGCTCCAGAGACCGCTCCTCCTCCTGCCCCACCAGCCCAGGAGACAGGCCTTGCTCCTGGCTGTCAATGATGGGACACTGCTCCGGTTCCTCCAGGTTCTCCATGTGATTCATGGGCACGGCCAGCATTGGGGAGGCATCAGAAACTTTTACCAGCCAAGTGGCGTCTTCAGTGAGAAGCATGTCATAGCAGGAGAAGTGAAGGCCCGGGACACCCCTTTCCAGGGCTTCAATGTTTGGTTTGGTCTCAACCATCTCCCAGGGATCTACAGAGCTTCTGTTTCGCTCCAGGAGGATGAGGGAGTCCTCCGTCTTTACAATTCGGGACCCGTACCCTTCAGATAAACTGCTCACTGGGTGTGACATGGCTGCTGTCTGAAAATAAACCAGACAAAACAAGCAAAGATACATTTCTAACCCATGATCTGAAGTGGATCTAAGAACCGTACAAACATTGAAACAAATACAAAATGGCATTTTGGTACTTTAAATCAAAAGAGCTGAAACTGACAAAACTTGAGTGGTACCTTTCTCAATAGCTCCTTATTTGAAACTCTTCAGCTGCTAAACCAGTTCAGTAAGAAACTCCATCAAAGTTCAGTCTGTGTTTGTGAGCTGAGCTGATGCTGGTTATTGCTTTATAGGAACACCAAGTTCTAATGAAGATACTGGGAAGAGAACCCTAAGGAGAGTAAAGCGCACACAGCGCTGACGGGCATGGGGCAAAATGGATTGGACTGAGTCTCTTATTTGTGGGTCAGTGGCCCAGAATGGTTGGTGTCTCGGGGGTAGGTGATTTATATTGAGACCTGAGGCAGCTCTGCCGCCTATTTGGGCTTTCAAGGTGCCGCCTCTGCAATCCTTTGTCTCCATTGCCAGCTGGAGATTTTAATCAAATAAAAGTCAGATAATGCAGAGGGGAGCATGAACAAAATGTGCTCCAAACAAACCACATGCCTGAAAAACAACTCGTACAGTTTAAATAATAAGAAAAACCTAGACTGAAGAGTTTAATCCCAACTCACCTTTGATTATTATCAAAGGTGCATTTATAGACGTAAGCTGTATCACAAGCGTAATCTCACATATGGCACCAATAATTTGTACCTGCCACAGCTGGCATATGGAAAGACACATTACTGTCACACACCAGGCTATCAGTGGTGGAGGATGAGGTGGCAGTAAAGGAAGTCCACAGTGCACATGTTCAGTGCTTGATTAGATCGATTTGTTCCAAGGCAAACAAATTAAGTCTCATAAAGTTTGCAAAATATTTGATTGCATCTATCAACCCAGAAACAACGTAAAGAACGAATCTGAGGTGAATGTACGTGAAAATAAACTTTCTTGAAGTGGTTTTGTTTTGTCTCCATTAGGAAAAACTCCACATGCAGAAAAAAAATCCTACAAGTGTCTCGTAATGAAAAAATTAAACGTTGGATGTGAAAGAATTTTGAAAGAAAAGCTTTGCAGAGAGTGGTGAAGGCTGCACAGAGGTCAGTTGGAGTCAGTCTCCCCACCATCACAGACATTTACACGTCTAGATGCAGGAAGAGAGCCACCTGCATCATGAAGGACCCCACTCACCCAGCACACACACTTTTGCTCCGCCTCAGGAAGGAGGTTAAGGAGCATAAAGTGCGGAACCACTAGACTGAGGAACAACTTCTACCCTGAGGCTGTTAGACTCATGAATCTCTAACCAGGATAATCACTGTGAAAAATCACATCATGTTGCTGCTGATCTGTTTCATATTGCTGTGTTCATTCCTATCTATCTATCTATCTATCTATCTATCTATCTATCTATCTATCTATCTATCTATCTATCTATCTATCTATCTATCTATCTATCTATCTATCTATCTATCTATCTATCTATCTATCTATCCATCCA